GTGGATTCTAATCGCATGGTTCGATGATTAGATGTTTGAGCGGTTGTTTAGGAGTTATGATAGATTGCTTAGGGATATTTAGTAACATAGTTTTCATTTGTAATTGCGTTGTAAGGACAAGTTTTTCCGCTTTTTTTATAAATAAAGAAAAATTTTGATTTTGTCTTATTGTATGTTTCCTTGCAATGACATTTGTGAAAATTTTTGTTTATATGTTTCTATTAAAAGTAATGTTAAAACTGGTTTGATTCTTTTTTATATAGATATTGGTAGTGTCTTTATTTTCCAGGCAAGGAAAGATTCTCATCGCCGAAGTTTCAATTGGACAGAAACTTGGAATCATGTGATTTGAATCATATGACGTATGAAAATCTTGGTACTTGGGAAAATTGAGACTAATTCCTTGTTTGCATATGAATGTGACTCAAGTGAAGGACTAAAGGTTCTAGTACACTTTGATGTGTACAAGTTATATCCACCACAAAGAATGATAAAGGCTATTCGTCATAATTTACTAAAAGTTTAGTAAATATGGTTATACTTACAAGATTAAGTGTAATTCTAATACCTTGAAAAATTTCAAAGTATAAGAGAACGAATAAGAAGAATCAATTAGGTAGAAAGATAAAAGTTTTCTCCAATCTGAAAGGAAAGAAGAATACTTTAGTATCATGTTTTATGATCATCCTAATGATTATAGACATAATAAACAAGTTAGAATGATTACCTCAACTTGTTATGTAGTAATAACAAGAACTCCTTGACCTTTGAAAGCTTAGTGCCTCAAATGTTGTACCTCTAATGGAGTCACAAACACTAATAGCAATAAGGAAGAAACAAGAGAGAGGAGAGGCTCAAAATCGGCTATGGAGTCCTTCTATGGTTTCTCATCGCCCATTTTGGCATGCCCAAGGGTTCCTTATATAGCTGAGCAATTAGGGTTTTAGTCATAACCCTAATCCAGTTACTTAGTCCTAAAGCAGCAAAAATGATCCTTCTAGAAGGTCCCTTGGACGATTTCTATATGGACTCCCATATAGAATTCTTCCATTGTTTCCTTATGGATCCTAAGCCCAACTTTGGAACTATCTTATAATTACAATATCAGTCCCCTTGATTTAATTAATCTCTTTTGACCACAAAACTAATTCTAAATTAATTCTTGATCAATATTAATTAAATCATATGATTTCTCTTTTAATATATTATTCACATAATATATTAATAAATCACAATTAATCCTTTTTCTCCATAATTCATCGTATTAGTTGATAAGGTGAAGGCAACCCAAAAGGAACATGCTCATAATCGGGTCAAGTACATACCAAAATAGATATGGGCTTAGAAACTTAATCCAACAATAATATCTTATATTTTTGAAACAGAGACATATGAGTTGTAGTTTGCAAGTGGGTTGCACATTGATGATACGTAAACGCACTAGTAACTTGGTGTTATAAAACATATTGTTGGGTGTGATTTGATGAGTAAATTAAGCAAGCATATGAGTCGAAGTTTATCCGTTACTTTTACCCTAAGAGGGATAAAAGCGATATCAGTGGGCCCCTCAATGATTTGTTGATGACACCCTAAGCGCTTGGCGAAGCATGGACAAAGTTGATTTGTTCAATGTAGTCTGTTCTCATTCGTCATAAATTAGAAGTCAGGAGCCAACACATGGACAGAGAGAATGATTACAATCCATGTCTCAGTCCATACGATATCTTGTAGAATGGAGGAATATTTGATCCTTTATCTAAAGGACACAGTTCTGATATGATCAGAGTTTCATAAAGGCTTTTTGAGAGCTACGATTGCTAATCGATTTTGAAGTCATTGGCAGTTTTAGTTATTACCCGTGGTCTCCAAAAACACCAAACGAACTCTCAGATCATCTAAGCTACCTTACCCACACTCAGATGAGTCTAAACCTTTCTTTCCTAAGACTTGGAGCCTTCAGTAACATCAATTCGAGTCTCGGTCCCAAATATGAATACGCTTAAAACATGATGTTACATGTTTAGTATCTTTTGTCAATTGTTTATTATTTTCTTTCAATTTTGCATGTTTTACTTCCTAAATAATTATATTATTTAAACATCCATAGTCGATTATACTTTTGGAAGTAAGTAATGAATCAAGATTGTCATGAATTGGATTGTAGATTGTCAAAATATTTTAGACATAAAATTGGTTTATTGCAACATTCATGAGTACTTTGAAATAGAGATTTAACTATTGGATTAACTCACGCTCATAAAAATACTACATTGAATTAATCACGAGTAACTCTGAGATGATTATATCTTATAATCTTTAAACATAGATATATGAGTTGTTGTTTACAAGTTAGTTGTGCATTGTTAATACGTAAATGCATCAGTAACTTGATGTTATAAAACGTATTGTTCTGCATGATTTGATGAGTAAATAGTGCAAGCATATAATTCAAAGTTTATATGTTCCTTTTTCCCTAACAGGAAAAGCAATATATTGGCCCCCTCGATGATTTAGTGTTGACTTATAATGTCGGGCCCTGCCAGGACTAAATTGATGTCTTCGATTACTAGTTCTTTGTCATTACAAATCAAGAATTGGCAATCAAAGTATTGAACAATGAGATTGATTCTGTTCCATGTCATTTTTCCACATGATAACTTGTAGAACGAAAGATTATAGGAACACTTATCTTAGGACGCGTAGCTGACTATATCAGAGTTTGACGGTGGCTTTGAGAGCTACAAATTGCTATTTGATTTAGAAGGATATACTGGAAAATATATTTATTAGACTTATCCAAGTGACAAACTGTTGGATTTGGTGTCTATGCCCATAACTATAATTGGTATATACGTGAATTGATAGTAGAACAATCCTTTTGGGTTACCCTCAAGACTAGGAACTGGGAATGATGATTTTGGAGAAAGAGGTTGATTTGTTAATTTGATTAATAAAGTGGAATAAGTAATTTATTAATATATAATGAGAATAATATATTAATTAGATATAGTAATATTTAATTACTATTTAATCAGTAATTAATTAAAATTAATTTTGTGATTAAAAGAATTAATTAAAAGTGCAGGGACTGAATTCTAATTGCTCAATAGTTGAGCAACAGGCAATCTAGAACTCTCCAGGCTATGGACGGTTTTCCTAGAGCATTAGCGTTTCTAGAATAGTATTTAATGGATAATCAAGAACGTGGATAATTACCCGATTTAAGATTATCTTAGACTTGGGCTTATCTAGGGTTTCTTATCTGCACTATAAATAGGGATATAACCCTAATATTTTTGGCCACTTCTTCCTATAGAACTCCAGCCAACAATTTGCCTCCTCTCTTATTCTCCACAATCTTCTTTAATTGCTAGTGTTGGGTGTGAGTTGTTAGAGGCGTGAAAATTGTGACACTTGTTCTCAAAGTCTCAACAACACAAAGGATTTGGATTGTTATTTCTATATAAGAATAAAAGATATATTTTGTAACCCTAATTATGTAAATTTGATTATATACTAGTGCTCTAGGGTTTTCTATATTGTTGTTCACATGGTATGTTTTAATAGAGAAAACGTAGATCAATTTTAAGGTTGCATGCATACATAAGATTGTTTGTTATGCTCAAAACCGGTCAAGTAGATGGTAGGATGTTGAAAAGATGTGTGGTCATGTGGAGAGCTTCCATATAATATGTAGGGGAAGATGGGCTTGAAATAGGAGGGTACACATCATATTATTTGGAGTACGAAGCATGGGTTCGGATTTTCCGTTTTGTTGGGAAGTGTAAGGGCACAAGAAACATATGTGTATACCGTTAGATTCATATAGTTGATGAAATTGAGCATTGTTTTATTTTTTACCATTGTAACATTGAAATGTTTGGATGTCTGTTTGAAATTGATTTTGGACATAAGCATGAAAGTGAAGGAATTTAGATAATACATTAGATTTCAATATAAGAGGACAAACCCACATAAAATTAGAAAATTGATCGAGAAAAATAACATAATATTTTATTTCACTGTGACTTTGTAATGGTGAAGTCCACACATTAGAATGAACAAATTGAAATGGAAATGAATGATGAGTTTTAGATTATTGAAATGAAAAACGAGTATGCTTGCCAAGTTGACAAGCATGACAAAATAAAGGAGAATCTTTTTTATTAAATGAAATAGATTGCTAGAAATTAAATGGTTGAACATGGGTTGATCGGGGTGACCAAGTCGTTGGTGCCACAAGGAAGAGCTGAGACTGAGAAGGGCTTGAGGAGTGGGGTGGACACCAGATGGATATCACTCGTGCTATCACATCGAAGGAGGATGCATTTGGGGCGAAAGTCCTTCATTGAAAAACCAAACTCGACAAATTCAATAGAAAACTTTTTATAACGAGTAAATTGGCACACAAAAAATAAGATTTTTAATAATTTGTGGTGCAATAAGAATATTTTTTAGGACAATAGTATGAAAACGATTTAAATGAATATGAGATTGAGTAAGTTTAGTGACCGGAAGACGAGATCTATCGCTGAGTAATACCGATAAATTTGAATTGTTACACGTATTGCTAAAAGACTTGAGAGTACCTAAATCGGTGTGAAGGTGTGCGGTTGCCCCGATGTCCATGTACCAATTTGCATTACATTAATCTTGAAGGATCATAGTATTGAAAGCTTGTAGTACGGCAGCCGGTTGATCCATATTATTTGAGTATTGAAACCATTGCCAGCAATTGGGTTGGTTATTGGGCTATTGTGTCGTATAGAAAAAAGCATTATGTTGGGCTGAAGCTGGATTTGAAGTGTGCCAATACTGAGGGAAAGAGGAATTTGCACCATTAGGCCATTGAGCCTGATGGGTCATTGCATATGGTAGCAGCTCATGTTGTTACTATTGACCTTGCGACATTGACCAAGGGTAAAAGCTACCCACTCCCCAATTGTGTAGATTGTGACCAAAGCCTGTCGTCCTCCACTTCATCCGCTTTTGCTGCCGCCTTACAGATTTCGGCCACCGCCTCTACTCCCTGAATTGCAGAATCGAGAATTAGAGGGCCGATTTTGGTGCTCTGTTGCGAGAATAGTGGGTGATGATGCGTTATCTTGGTGTGAAGCTTGAAATTGGCGTGAGTGGTCTTTAATCATGGATCGTTCTTCAAGTATGAGCATGGAGCGCATCTCAAGGAAAGTAGGAAACGACTTTTGATGTTGGAAGGTGGTGACGACGTGAGTAAATTTCGGAGATATGCCATTGATGGCATAAATTACTGGGTTTCTTTCAGGTACTTGGGATCCAATGTTAGCAAGAAGGTCAGAGATGGACTTGATGCGAGTGCAATGCTCCATAACTGAAGAATCTCCAATGGCGATTGTATGAAGTTCATCGTCTAATTTCATAGTTTTTATCTCTTTATTATCATGAAACAAATCTTCAATGGTCTTCCATACATCTGCTGCTGTGGCGTTGGGTTTGAGAATAGATTGGAGAACAGGTTGAGTGAGAGTATCATGCAACCATTGTTTGGCAATCTTGTCTAATGTCTGCCATTATGGATCATCTTCAATCTTAGAAGTATCATTAAGATGACTATAGACTTTGTATACAATGCAGTGAGTTTTAAAAGGTTTTTTCCAAGAGTCATAATTCAAGCGGTCGAGATCAAGAAGAAGGGGAACATAAGATTTAATGTTGGTTATCCCATAAATTTTATCATTGGGAGAACTTTTAGGAGTAGAAGAAGATCCAGTCATGATGAAAAACGAGAAGGGAGAGAATTTGAGGTAAACAGAGAGAAGAACAGATGTAGTAGAATAGAAGAAGATGACGACCATAGGAAGGGATCGGCTAGGTTTAGGGATGATAGTAGCCTAATTCCATGTTTCAAAACATAATTTCCCATGAAACAACATCAAGCCTTTCATATATATATATATATATATATATATATATATATATATATATATATATATATATATATATATATATATATTTATATAAGAAATATACAATTGGGCTCAATGTACAACGGTGGGCTAACTAAAGAACATAATACTTGGGCTAACAAAGATTTAGCATACAAATACATATAAACGTCTAGCACCAATAATTATTTCTCCCGCTTCAATTGTTTGAACGATTATATGTGGTTGGTAATGATAAACAATGTAAAAAAATATTTACCTTTACAAAAATATACCAACATTGTTGACCAACATTTTTCCCAAATTTTATGCTATTATGGTCGCATATTTGGTTATGTTATGGTGGATACTTCCAAACAAATGTAAGAACACGGAAGAAGAAGAAGATGATGGTAGATTAATGATAAAGAAATGAAATACAATAAATTTGTGATGTTCTGCATCTCCTTTCTTGTATTATAAAAGAATGTTCTATACAAAATGGGTTGGATGCGACTACAAATGTATACCCAACGATTCAAATTCACAATGTATATATACTATCAACCCATGACAGGAATCATACAGGCAAATCCTTCTCCAGCGAACTGTCCATACAACTCGATATTCTATATGCAATTTCCGCCATATTCGGTCTTGCCATCGAGTTCTCTAACAAAGCCATATTAGCAACGTTGACAAGAACTCTAAGTTGCTCTGCATGCACTTCACCATTTAGTTTCGGATCCAACATACCCATCAAGATATCCACATCGTGATGTTTTCTACACTCATTTGTCCACTCTGCTAGGGTTACTGACCCTTGTAGTGATTTCATTCCAGTTATAAGCTCGAGCAATAAAACACCAAAACTATATACATCACTCTTGGGTGATACTAGACCTGTGTTAAGGTAATTCGTATCAACATAGCCTAAAGAACCTCGTATGATTGTTGGGGTTTGGGCGCTCTGTGTGTCATGTCCTAATTTACATAAGCCAAAGTCTGCAAGTTTAGCATGATCGTCGTTGATGAGTAGAATGTTGGACGACTTGACGTCTCTATGGATGACTGGAGGGTCGGCGACTGAGTGTAGGTAGTCTAGGGCGTAGGCGATGTCTAGGGCAATGCTTATACGACTCGACCATGAAAGAGATCCTGAAGATTTGCCTTTTCGGGTGTGTAGCCGATCAAAGAGGCTCTTGTTTGGTATATATTCCAGTAGAAGAAGCTGTTCACCTATAATGGATAAAGACTAAAATTAAATGTAATGGAAAAACATATTACTTTTAAGATATAAAAAAACATGCTTCACAAATAACATTGCAGATTTTTGTAAAGTGCGGAAGCAATTGGACAGTAACCAGTTTAACATATATTTTATAGACCACGGACAAAAAAAACCTGATGATGAAGTGCATTGTTTTTTATTATTTTATACTACTAAAAAAATGGAAAAATTACCAAGATATTATTAATTGTCAAAAGTACATAAATTGTGCTTCAGAATATGATTTTACGTGATTATTATACATAGTTTATGTATGTGACATGCTCTCTACATCGTTTTGGTTATATAGATCTCATTCATCGATTTTTAGTGTAGGCTTTTTATTTTTTCAAATGCCACTAAATTATATATATTCAACGTTTTTAAGATTGATATCTTAAATGTAGGATTGTAATCTTCCTTAAACCGGTTTGAGTATATTCTTAAATGTTGTCAAGTTTTTTAATATGGTTATATTTATCTAAAACTTTATTTTATTTCGGCATACTATACTATATATATATTTTTTATTATTACATGGGTTGAGGTAAAATTGATGATTATGTGTTATTTTAATGTATTTTTTGTATTAATGTATGCCTTGTTTTTCATTGTATTTTTTAATGTTTGAAATTGTACACGTTGAATTTTGATTTATGTATTTACGTATATATGTATTTATATATGTATGTGTAGTAAATTAGGAAACAATAAAAAATTATAGGAACTAATTGTCCGAACGGTCTTACAGGAAATCCGTTAATATATCGGTTCAACTAAAATATCAGAAAACTTTTAAAACATTGAATCAAAGTAAAATTGTTTTTAAGGCAAGATTGTAGGACATTAGAAAATAAGTCGATCTGATCCTACCAATTTTTGTAATTTGGTAGTTAGAGTTAAAAGTGTAACCTTAAGAGTAATTGAGATTTTAGAAAATGTATCTCAGATATATAGAGATGAAATGTCTGATTTGAAATATCGAAAAACTAAAATATCGGAAACTAGTTACTATAACTGTTCAACCAAAATATCGGAAAACTTTTAAAACATTGAATAAAAGTAAAATTGTTTTTAAGGCAATATCGTAGGACATTAGAAAATAAGCCGATCTGATCCTACCATTTTTTGTAATTTAGTAACTATAGTTAAAAGTGTAACCTTAAGAGTCTATGAAACTTTAGAAAATGTATCTCAGATATATAGAGATGAAATGCATGCATTTAAATAAAAAAAAAAAAAAAAAAAAAAAAAAAAAAAAAAAAAAAACTGCTGTAATGATTGTAAGCTTTTGACATTTTCTCCCTCATATTGTAAAGAATTAATGCTTTACAACAATTTAAGTTTGAATTATAATCATATTATATTGCTAGTTTACGTATTAACTTTTAAGCTTGTATTAATTTTGTATTTGTGAACAAATAGACGAAAATGTACTTTTTATATTGTAAATTTATTACTAGCTAATTTGTCTTTTTGTCGAATTTAATCATCCCATTCAGGTCGTGTAAACGGAATGTGGATCTCGACAACCTTGATTTTAGCAATTATGTGACCTTTTTGATTTTGAAATGAACGATGCGATCTTTAAAACTGAGAATAGCATGTTTCTGCTTGTTTCTTCTTTTTGGAAAGAATACTTAGTTATCGACAAGATAACCCCGAGGAGTAATATAACCCTAGGACAATACGGAGGAGTACAAAACTAGGAATATGCATATTCTCAACTATTGTAATGATATCTTTTTTATGTTCCTTTTTCTCTTTATGTCCGTTTGGTTGGGTACGACTTGACATGTAAACAAACACAAACTAACACAGGAAACAAAAAGGATTGTATGACAAATTAATATTATATGCACACCACTAAAACGTAGACGCGACCCTCATTTCTATCATCAATGACTCACTAAATATGTAAATACTTTTCTTTTTCTTTTTATTCTATTTGTTTATCTTAAAATGAATTTGAATAAACAATCAAAAACTATTAAATTTGAGTTACATAAAACTAGCTGATTCCAAGAACAACAATTAAGGTCTACATGTTTAAAGTGGGGTTTCAAACATATTATAAAATATTTAGTGTTTTGTAATTGGGCTACATACATGTCAGTTCAAAATATCTTAATCTAAAAGACAAAACATTGCTCATGAATTAAATATAAGTTCACATGGATACATGGATGTATTATTATTATTTTGATATTTAGAAATATCACCAGAAATGTATAAAAATATTTTTTTAACTTATAAGCATTAGTTCTAACTATTATAATAAAATTATAAATAACCTCATTAATTAAACATATGTTCAAAAACGATGGCATAATGTTATTATTCCTATATTTGTTTCAAATCGAAATACATATCTTTGCTTTCCGTTGTTCTAACGATAAACTCTTTATACTATTTTTCACAAAACCAAAAAGAAAAGATTAAAGTGTTGTGATTTAATTGTAACCATGTTGCAAATAATTAAGATAATTGTAAAGCGAAGATATCAAGTAAATCCTGCAAATATGTGAAGCTTAATTACCTTGGTCTAAGCAAAAACCCAACAACCCAACCAAGTTAGGGTGAGAAATCCTAAGCAAGATCGATACTTCATCAAGAAACATCTTCTGGCTACCACCCCTCTCTTCCATCACCCTCTTAACTGCACCAAATCGACCATCACCCAACTCAGCAAGATAAACATATGATGTGGCACCAACACCTATCCGTATTCGAAAATTCCTAGTTGTGGCTTTGATTTCCTCAAGTGCAAAAGTACGAATACCCTTAGTAGTAGATAATGAACATAAACCAATGTTCTTCTGATTCATATCGCCTTGTGCTTTAACCAAAGATCTTGCTTCTGCTTGCTTGTCTAAATAAACTGCCCATTTTTTTAAGAGTGCCGTGAGAATGATAATCAGTACAATTGCCGCACCTATCCAGTAGCTTTTTAATGCTGATTTGCCTATGGATCCCATGATTATATGATCTTAGCCCTATGAACTACCCAATCCCTTGACAAAATAAAAATGGATTTTGGTGTTGGTTCAAGAAAATAATTTTTGGGTTACCTTAAATATTTTTTTGGTTGTCGTCACTCCCTCATGGTAGCATATGTGAACGTTTACTCAAGAGAGAGGAGTTGGTTATGAAGTGTTGGAATTTAGGGATTGGAGAGAGTAGGTTTAAGTTTGTATTGCATATCCTTTTGTTTGGAGTGTAGTGGGGTTGAGGATGTCAAGCAAGTCAATACGTTGTTTGAGACATGGGAATATATGAGTATGTATGTACTTAGCGGTCTCAATTGTGTCCTTACTTATTTTACCGTTGAATTTCTTATCCAGAGAGAAATCTGTAGCAAGCCAAAAGAAAGTTCAGTCACCTTGAACATTACTCGAAGATAGAGTTCAACCTTATCTTGAATCATTGTTTTGTGCAAAAGTTTTTGTATGTGAATTCTAAATATAAATTGTTTTCTTTTTCATAAGAAAGGAAATTAAATAATAAGATAAAAGTCGATATTATTAAAGACTGATAGAGAAAAAACCTATTAGGTCTAGCTTCGATCAAGATAAACTTTATCCGACAAAGGCCAAGATTATATTTCTCGTACAATTTACAACATTGATGTAACGTTATTCTTAGCTATTTAAAGATTGTGTATTTTTGTATTATTGTAACGATCCAAAAATCATGACTAAAAATTTGTTTTAAAACATTACTAAAATCATATTTATAAAACTATATCATAAGACATAACATAATTTTCGAGTATTAATTCAAAACATAATCTCATTATCAAAGTAAAACATTCCCAGGCTAACTGACTATGGTGTGTGCACTGCAACCTCTCCGAGCTCCTTTTTTGAAAACTGAGTACCTGAAACTAAAACTGAAAACCGTAACCACCAAGCTTAGTGAGCTCCCTCAAACTACCACATATCATACAATAACATATAAAGCACATACTGGGCTTTGCCCACTGCATCGGACCGAGGTCTGGACTAACTGGGGCCCTACCCCCTGCATCGGACCAAAATTCGGAAATTGACTGGGACCTTGTGCCCTGCATCGGACACAAATCCGGAAACTGACTAGGACCTTGTCCCCTACATCGGACCGAAGTTCGGACTATCTGGGGCCTTGCCCCCTGCAGCGGATCGTAGTCTGGAAACTGACTGGGACCTTGTCCCTTGCATCGGACCAAAGTCCGGATTAACTGCATCGGACCGAAATCCGGATCTAAGTGAACATAGCATAGCATAAACATATCAACTAGCATGAACACATATATTGCATACTGCATCGGGCCGTAGCCCGGAACACATAACACATAAATCCTGTCTGAGCCATGAAGGCATCAAACATACTAACTACTGCATCAGACCGAAGTCCGGAAACTACTGCTAGCTAAACGGGTCGGCATTGTGGCCTTACACCCGTTCCTACTTGAAGGAAACTCACCTGGCTGCTAACCGACAACCTTCTAAGCCGCTGCTCCTCTAGCTCTCTGAGCTACCAATATCAAAATGATACTTCGTCTGATAGTCCTTCAAAAGTCAACTAACTTAACTCTGGTCAAAATTCAAAGTCCCCGTCACAGTCAACCTTCCAGGCTGACCCTACTCGCCGAGTCAGCTTACTGACTCGCCGAGTTCATAAGCTCAGAAATCCCTTTCATTCGCGACTCGACTCGCCGAGTCAGACCATGACACGCCGAGTCTACTGATTTCCGAGTCCTGACCTGTCCACTCACTAGGTCCCCATTCAACTCACTGATCCGAGTCTTAACTCGAAGAGTTTGGGGTTTCGCGACTTGACTCGCCGAGTCCAAGGAAATCTTCAACACAATCACCAAGTTGTTCATCCAACTCGTCGAGTTCATCTCCATCTTCAAACTAGTCGTCGAGTCCACTCTAAAGACTCGCCGAGTCTATTTAGTCCTTCATATATTCAGAGGCTTTTGAGTCATGCATGGACTCCAAACTGTAGATCCACTCTTCTAAAGCCTATTCCTTACGTAAAGTGGCAAACTTTACGTGTAGCTAAGGAGATCTAGGCTCAAAACACTATAAATTAGGGTTTAAGACAAAAGGGCTTAACAATCAACCCATAGACTGATGCTTTATGATTCTCTAGACCAAGATACACTTAGATCTGAAGTAGCAACTTTAGATCTGGGCTTCTAACTCGAAATGGTTCTTAAACTTGCCCTAAAAGCCCCAAATATCATGATAAAGGTTGATCTATATGAAAATGAGTGAAGGTAGCGACTCATTACCTTCAAATGCTCTGGAAAATCCCACAAACTCTGGATCTACTGCCAATCCTTGAATCCCCAATGGTTGTCTTCTTCATTATTCCTTCAAATCACCCAAAATGGCAAGAAAGCTTGAATGAGCAACAATTGAGGCTTAAGGTTTCGGGTTCTGGACTATAGGGGCCGCAAATGAGCCCTGGGGAAGAGAATAAGATTCTTAAATAGGGTACCAAGTGCCGGAATTAGGGATTCCCAACCCAGACCAGACTCGTCGAGTCGGTGACTTACTTTACACTCGGATCCCACTCCGACTCGCCGAGTTCCTCCCTGGACTCGACGAGTCAACCCTCTTTAACATAGGGTTTTCCTTTCCTTTCTTGAGATTTATGATTTCGGGTGTTACAACTCTCCCCCACTTAAACTAAACTTCATCTTCAAAGTTCTCTATACTCAATTGGCCTGCAATCCGCCTCAACACCCTGCCTAGTGACTTTAACCCTTTTGTCCATCACTCCAGCCACACACAGTGCTGATCACTACTGTTGGTACATACTAAATTCTTATCTTTTCCATAATTTCCTTAACGTTACTTCCTCCGACTGAAAATTCTGTTGCCCCTCATTCGCCTATTGGATGCACTGAGACCACCCTGGTCCAACTAATCTGCCGATATCTGAGTTACTGGACTCCCATCGGTCACTACACCCCATCGCAACCTACTAGTTGCTTCCAGCGACTTCTGAAGATACTTCGATTATCCATAACTGTTCTACCAACTCTGCCACTCATACTGAATCGATGATGTTGGAACCAACTTGCTTATCTCTCATCTGACTACTCAACTTCCAATAACTCGAGCCTTCCCTCCAGAAAGAAAGGCTACCTTCCTAATTATCCTTGCAGATCACTTATACTTGGTAGAAAACTTAACTGATCCTGCTAAGAGGGACTTGCCATTTCAAATCGACCAACTATACCGTCAGCACTTGCATTCCAACACAAATACTAATGTTGGCCATCACACTGAAACTATCCGAAACACTTAACTGCCTGCAATACTGAACTGCCTGAAGCACTGGATTGGCTAAAATACTAAACTGGCTGAAACACTGAACTGACTGAAACAATGAACTGGCTGAAGCACTGAACTAACTAAAACATTGAACTGGCTGACACACTGAACTAGATGAAACACTAAACTGACTATATGGTTTCTTCCCTCAACATCTCAGCACCTTCCTGGTCTCAAATCATTCATCGGTTATCTGCAACACTGAGTTCCAACTCAACTGTGGAGCCCAAGGACTCCTTACTTAGTCGCTCCCTCAACTTTTGAACGAAATCCTTCTCTGGAACTAGTTTCCACTAGTCTTCCTGACACTGCGACTCTATAAACCTCCCGATCCAACCGACCTGGTCCATACGTCGAATCCTGACATCATCAAATCTAAGGCTAAAAATGGTGGCTCCCAGACTAACTGTATACCTTAACATACGCAAACCCAAGTGGTCCACTACTTCCGTGTTCTCATAACTAACGTGACGATCTATTGCCAAATCGTCGACTTAACCATAAATGAACCATTTGGGAAATCCGAAATCTAACCCATGGATTCCCATATCCTCACTGCTGCACCCGAACTGGTGGATACTGCTGCTTTCCCCACATCCAACAACGTGCTCATGCTGCATATCAATCTGGTAAAGGCCACGGCTACACCCGCGGACTTACAACTCCCTCATACTATCTGACTACTAGTGAATGCTACGGCTACCCCTGCAGAGTTACAACACTCTACTACTATCTGACTGCTAGTGAATACTACGGCTACCCCCCCACAGACTTAGAACACTCTACTACCACCTTACTGCTAGTGGATGCTATGGCTACCCCCGCAGAATTACAACACTCTACTACTACATGACTGCTAGTGAATGCTACGGCTACCCCCGTAGACTTACAACACTACTACTACTACTACCTGACTGGTAGTAAATGCTACGGCTACCCCCGTAGACTTACAACACTACTACTACTATTTGACTGCATCAACCTCGACGTCTTATATCCTTAATACACTTAGCGGTCCGTCAAGGAATTCTTCGGCTTGGTTCCTAAACCAACCGTCTACTAATCCGGACACATGAAACTATCTCTTGGAAGTTTCCAAAACCCCCCAACTCCTCAATCCACACAACCCTGCATGCCGACTCTGCCACTGACTACTAATAGGAAAGCCTCTGTTGCTAATCATTCTCAAGATCCTCATTCCGACTCATTAGAGTCCTACAGGCAGTCCTCCAACCCTGAATTCCCAACCATCTACTAAACATATCGATCACATGAACTCATTGTTGGGAAATTCCTCAAACTCCCAACTCTGAACTTCTCAATCCATCAATCGCTGCACTATTATCTTTTCTTCTCAGAGGGCGTGTACTCATTCTGGAACTGCGTGTTCTTTCCCTTGTATACTCGGAGGGTTCTCCCCCTCTTGGATCCGGCTAACTCCTTACTGCTCACTGGTCGAAAGGATTCCCTAACCTTCTTTCCATTAAAAGGGCGATCTGCTGTCTGCCAACGTTTACCTCTGTCGGCGCTCCAACTAACTTTTGCCAGATCTGAACGATTCTTGTTATCTAACTGAGCACCTTTCAATCCTTAACTATATTTGCTTTAGGGACTGCATCCTGAGAACCTACGTTTGGGGTGCACAT